TATATATATATATGTATGTATGTATATATATGTATATGTATACACACACATAACATGTGGCATAAGAATATACATTCTTTTTTATAAAACTTATTTTGGCATATGAAAATCGAGATTCATAATATGTTTAGAAGAAAATTAGATATCATAACATCAACATCTTATTTTCTCAAGCTCTACAATCTAGATTTATTTTCTTGCATTTAATTGCATGTTTATTTAATTTCTAACAAAAAAAAATTGTCTTAAAATTTGTGTTCAATGATTATCAAAATAAGTATTATAAAACTATTTGTAAAACAATATATATATATATATATATATATATAAGAATTTTAAATTTTAGATATCAAAATAATTATCATCAAAAAGAGAAAAAATATTTATAGAATTATCAAAACTAAAGTCAAAATATATTTTTATGATAATCTTGACTCTAATGATATTAAGTTGTAAAACCAAAAATCCTTATCCCTATAACATTTAAATATTGAATGCCTACAAATTGATACATTTTATAAATATTGCTCTATTAAGTAGTTTAAAAGTTTACAAAGACTACCAACAAAATTAATATATAAACGTTATAACTATTACAATAAATAAATTTATTTCTGAATTGCTAAATATTTATACGAATTGACTGGATTTATTACTATCAAGTAATATAGATTGATTAACTTAACAACACTAGTTTTCATAGCTAATTCACGAAAAATCTTAAATTACATAAATATCTTAATATATTATTAGTGATTACAAAGATAACGCTAGAAATGACACAATGGTTCTCTAATAATTATTTTGATATTAGAGGATTAAAGAATAAATAAATTGATTAATTAATTTTACATATATGTATATGTACATGTGTGTGTGTGTGTGTGTGTGTGTATATAGATATATATATATATATATATATATATATCATGCTTAAAATTATTTTCCTCACTCTTGGATCACCCAAATTAGTTTAAGTTTGGATACTTGCTTAACTTAAAGTTTTAATAAATTAACTATAATAACTAATATAGTTCAATTAATTAATCTGCACCGTTTAATAGTAATAAATTCAATCAATTAGCATAGACATAAATCAACATCTGGATTAAATTCGAGTAGTTTAAATTTTGATTTATTGATACATTTTATATATTAATTTTATTAGTATTTATAATATTTTAAACTACTTCTGAAAAATATTAATACAAAGTGTCAAATGATGTGGTTTTATAGATTTACATCATTAGACTTAAGATTCCTATAAAAATTCCTTTTGAATTTAGTTTTGATCATTCCACTGATATTTCATTTATTTTTGTGACATTTATGTTGATATGTGAAAATTAAGATTTATATTACTTTTTGAAGGAGAACTTAGATATCATAACATAAATATCTTATTTTCTCAAACACTGTAATTTAGATTTAGTTTCTTTCATATATTTGCACATATATCTAATTGATTTAAACACAATTATTGTCTTAAAATTTATGTTTAATGATAAACAAAATTATTAACAAACAATTGAACAAAATAATTAATTTGATATATATATATATATATATATTAAATAGCGTGTATATGTTTATGCCCAAATGTTATGATTATGTTATGCATGCGTATACAAAAAAATATAAAATATATATACATACATGCTATCAAGTTTAAATATCATTAATTTAATATACAAATACACTTAATTAAAAAGGTTATGCAAATAATGAGATTGAACTTTAATTATTTAAAATAAAGAATCAAAACCTATTATAAGCATGATATAACAGCCATATTTCCATCCTAAGATTTGTTTATAAGTATTAAAAAAATTTTAATTAAATTGAAAAAAAAAATTTGTTAACAAAAAAATAAATTTATAATCGAGCTAAACTTATAAGATATCATGCTAACAAGAAATGCACAAACTAATCACATTGTGAAGAACATTTTTGAGCAATTTAAGTAAGGAAGAATACAGCAATAGCAACAACAAAGCCTTAATCCCACTAAGTGGGGTCGGCCACATGAATCCTTTTTCTCCATTGCGTCCTATTTAGTGTCATATTTTCATTTAATTCTAAAAAATTAAGATCATTTTTTATATTTAAGGAAGAATGCGAAAAAAAAAAATTTTAAGGTGGGGAGGAGATTGTGGGAGCATTAGGGGAGTTTATGAGTCATAGGGTTTAATTTTTGGCCCCCAGCTAAAAAAAGCTAGCATGTTGTTAGGGGTAAAATTGATTAAGAAATTAACTAACATTATTAATAGCCCAATGGATGGCAATTGGCATAAAAAAAATTAACCTAATAATTTAATTATCATTGTCATCAATCAGCTTGATGACAAAGCTCTGACCATGCATAATTGTGGCCAAAATATTTGTAGACAATGTTTTTTTTTTTTTTAAGTCGAATGCTTAAAATCAAAAAATAAGAATAGGGATTTTTAAAATTTCCTTTATAACTAATGTCATATTCCCATACTAATTTCTAACGCGTGGGGTTGTCAAAAAAGCTTGTTGTTCGTGACAAGCTCATGTTCGGCTCGCTCAGTAGCTCGTATTTGATTTGTTTGTTAAGCAAATAAGCCGAGCACGAACAAAGATTTTTTTTTATTTCGTGTTCAGCTCGATTTGACTTGAATTAATTAAATAATAAATAAATAATATTTGTATAATATTTATATATTAAACCTTTTTTAAGATATTATATTTTATTAACTTTTAAACAATTTTAGCTAAGGCTGCAAATAATAAATAAATTTTTTTTATAAGATATGTGAATACATAAGAATTGGGGTTATGCATGTAAATATCCCTAAGAAGTTAAGTTGTTATTTTTCCGTGACTTTAATTTGTTTTTCCCGTTCCGCCAGCCATAGACATGCATTGAACTAAGGATGTTGGACATTTAAATACATATGATTATGTGGAATGTATGTAAATGCTGAAAACTTGTCAAATCTCACGCCCTCTCCAAATAGTCCCACACCATGAATAATAGAATAAAAACTTCAGTCTTACTCTTTAAAAGTAAAAGGGAAGCTCAATTTTATTTGATAGCCAGTGTCATGTGTGATTTGAGCCATGTGAGATGTGGTTGAGTAAATTAAATTTTGGTTTATTTCCTATTAAGAGAGTTTTACAAAAACTATATATATATTTAAGATTTAATTATATTACTATATTGATTAAATTTTAATAAATTATTATTTTGAGCTGAACACGAGCTTAATTCGAACAAACATCAATTGAATCGAGTAGATCACGAACAGACTATTTACGAGTAATTTCAAACACAAGCCGAACACGAACAAAAAGAATTTAGAACAAGTCAAACATGAATAAGCCTCAGGCATACACCTTTTAATAAAGGTCGTCCGTAAAATATGACAACCTAATACAAAGAAAATGAAACAGTATGCTTTGCTTCTATTTAAAAAATGCTTTGATGAAGCTAAGCAGCAGAATTGACCATTCTTTACCTGGTTAGTTGTGATAGCAGCAGTCTACAGAATTAATAAAAAGTATCATTTATTTTACCACATTACACCAAAACCAGGAGCAGGGAACACTTTGGTCAACTCACGATTTATAATAACAACATATGTTGCAGCATTCAAATTTTCAATAACTCCAACATGTCTTTAAAAAAAAATTGTAAATATCCACCATATAAATCACCATTACACATAATCATATGGATTTTAAGGTAAAATAAACATAGGAAGAACATTTCAACATTCTCTAAATTTTTCCAAAATTCTCCAAGCTATTCATACAAGATAAACCAAATTATGCAAACCAAAATTGAAATATTAGGTGCCTACAAAATAGCATAAGTGTCATGAAACAGCACAAATCAAACTAATCTAAAACAAAGACTAACAAAGATTTCATGTCAAATTGAGAAGGAAAAATAATAGCAAACATTTATTTCAGCTAAACTTTGCTCACTAAATACAGCATTAAGATACGTAATTTATTATCTTTCACGAAGAACATATAATCAACAGATTCATAAACTCACCTCTCAGGTTCTCTAATAGATGTGCTCATCAAATCTGCAATCACATAACGGTAAACCTCAAAAACTGAAGTAGCAGTAATGCAAATAATCTATAAATCCTCTGAGCAGCTCATTTAGTTGCTTGGAGATTTAAAATATGCTTCATGTATGAAAATCAAATTATTGCATTTGAAAGATTTGAAAGATTCAGTAAAGTTTAAAACAAATATTAAATTCTAACAACATCCCATCAAATGCAGGAATCTAATAAAGTATCATTTTCAAATCAAGATTTGTAATTTCAAGCAACCAAATAGCCCAAGCAAAGATGGTCGAAAAAAGAAAGAAAGAAAACTAACCAACTAGACATTCGTCCACAATATGAAGGGATAAGCAACCTGGCAGAAAGAACTCCGGCTGTCCCACATCAGTATCCAAGTAACCAAGTCTATCATACCTTCATAACCATTCAAAACCCAAAGGCGAACATCGTAACCAACTTATAATCCCCAAAAACTGAAATAATCATAGCAAGGATTAGGGATAGAAAACCTCTCCAAGAGACAGTTTATTAGAAGACGCGAGAAGGTCGACTTGCCGCTGTTCTTAGGGCCACAGATAACGGCAATAGGCGGAGTCTGAGAGAGTGTGGTAATGGCATGTAGAGCATCAGCCCACTGCTGAGAAACGTGCGGCGTCTGCCGAGGCGTTTGCGTAGAAGAAGTGCCGCTCTGTGAGGCAAAGTTCATTGGTTCTCTCTGCCGGGCTGTTTGGTAGCCGGTTTTAAGCAGAATTTATACAGGTTTTATGCTAGTTAAAAAAAAAAAAAAAAAAACATTTGTAAATCATACCGGTTATGAAATACCGTTTTTCCTCCGTTTTGAAAATTCAATTGGAAGACGGATTTACGCGATGTTCATAGAATGTGAAAGAGGAAGGGGTAGACAGACAGTCGACAGTCGGCAAGGGTTTAGCGGAGGAGAGGGGAAGGGGAAGATGGTTTTAGGCTTTAATTTAATTTTATTTAAGTTAATTCAAATGATTAATGATTAATAATTATTTAATATGTTATCAAAATAATCGTAATTGAATTTATATATAATTATATAATTATTAAGTAAAAAATAAATTATGTATAAAATTTAACTATTTTAATAATTATTAATTGATTTAATAAATGACTAATCAAATATGAATTAATGGATATAAAAATATTATTTATAATTATTAGTTTAATTAAATTACTATCAAGGTTTAGAAAATCGGACCGGACAGAGCGATTCAATTGTGAAACGATGGCCAGCCCGGTCCCAACCACACACATAACCGTTTTGAATGTGAACTGGCTGAAATCAGTTGAACATATGGTTCAACCATTAGCCTGACGTACCGTTCCACCCTTATTACTATCACTATTAATTACTAATGTACCAAATAGTTTTCAAAATTTTAACTCCCTTCAGATTTTATAAATCCAAATACAAGATTTATTAAATTCTATTTTAACTGAATCCTACTTTTAACTAAATCATACTCTTAACTAAATCTTACTTCCAATCATTAAGCAAGATTTATACTTTTTTTTAAATCTCTTTCCCATCTTGCTTACGAGATTTAGATGAATACAAAAGCACAGTTTGATCTTCCCATCGTGTGTACAGACACACACACACACACACACACTCACACATACAGATATATAAATTTATATCTAAACTTTTACAATGTTCTCAAAGTTCATCATCTGAAAGGGATTGGCTCTGATCACAATCCTCTTTTGTTATCTATTGATTTCTTTACTAAATTCTTTGGTTTTCATTTCAGATATCTCAATATTTGGTCTTCACATCATACTTTTCTTGATGTTATTAGAGAAGTCTGGAAGACTGCTAGCATTGGAGGTAGTCCTTGGTTTATTCTTTGGAAACTTCACAAAAGAGTGGTTGCTTGCTTAAGGAAATGGAATTGGGAGACTTTTGGTGATGTCCATAAGAAGGTTTTGGAGGCTGGGGTGAAAGTTCAAGAGCTTGAAGCAAGAGATAATACTTCTACTAGTCATATTGATGAACTTGGTGATGCAAGCAAATATCTTTCTTTTGTCATCATGCAAGAGGAGGAACTCCTCCAGCAGAAAGTTAGTGATACTCATTTTTTTTACGGTGACGTGAATACAAAATATTTTCATGCTACTATTAAACGAAAGAGGAACATCAACACAATTCTAAGGGTGAAGGATAATAAAATGTGTTGGATTGCTGATCAGAAAAATATTGGAGCCAATGTTGTGGAGTATTTCTCTATGCTCTTTGGTTCTGAAGTGCAAGTAGCATGAAAATTTTGTCCCCACGTTTTGGTTCTAAAGTGCAAGTGTCATAAATATTTTTCCGATCAGTATGTGGTTGTGTCTTCAAGTTTGTTTTCATTATCTGTTCTGAGGCATTTGGGCAATGCAACTCTTTAAGGAAAATGACTCAAGATGCTACCACCTGCATTTTGGAGAGGTTATTGATTCTGATGGATTGTCAAATTCTATTATTTAGAAGTTCAAACACATTTATGTCCTCACCTCCTCTATGTTTTTTGGTTACAAAATATCCTTTTACTTTTTCATTCTTATTTTTCGGTATACATGTATCTATTTTCGCATTTTTTTTTTAGTGCGTTGTATATCAAGGAGAGGGCTTTTCTAAAGATATATATATATATACATGCTATCAAGT